ATTTTTGTTTGAATCTGAAATACTTTAGTGTTAATCTTGTTCTCAAATATAAGGAATATTAGTATTGAGAATGGTACATGGCTAAATTACCTGCCCATGGAGTTCATTCTAGTGTCTTGAAAGACTGATAGTAGAGAAGATAAAAGACTTGGAGAGCTTGGGAGAAGTAGGGGTGGTGTTCAAGACCCTGTTCGCCTTTGCTGCAATACTTGTCCTTTATTAATTTTCATTTTGTGGACTATGTTGTTCTGGAGGATTGGAGCATCTCACTGCCTTAGAAGAACTAAGTTTAAGCAGATGTTATGATCTTAGGCCATCAGAAGAGAGACAGAATGGCATAGGGATTTTTCCATGGACTTCATCACTCCACACCTTGAATATCCAGTATGTTCCACAACTGGTGAGTCTACCTAACTGGATGCAGTTCTTGTCCTCCCTTCAATCCCTTTCTATTACTGATTGCGACTGACTGGAATCAATTCTGAATGCAATGCCCAAACTCATTTTGTTCAAGTAACTGTGTTTCCAACTATTTGGTAAGGTTGGAGAGAAGATGCCAAAAAGATCCCCTTGTAGAGGACTGGCCTTGTATTCAACACATCCTGACGATCGATTATTACAGTAATCCAGCCTCATAATACTTTTGGGTCCTGCTAGTAGTAGTGAGCAAAAGATGCAGACTGGTGTTTGTCAAATTATTGTACTGAACTTCAATTTTGATTTCTGACTACAAAATTTGTACTGTTGAACCTCTTAATTTTTTTTTTTTAATTTTTTTTTAAGGTAAGATGAAAGACCCTACTAAACCAGCACCTCTCACAGGTTTAGCCAGCCAGCTCCGCAGGTCACCGCTTGAGAGTAGAGGGGGGAGGTAAGGGAATCCCCCTACTCCCAAGAATTTTTGTAGTTAGTTGAACCTCTTAAAATGTTGGGACCATTGTATTCATGTCTCTCCATAAATCTGTATCAAGTCTATTATTGATAGGCAGCAGTAGTCCATACAAATTTATCATTCCTTGAGTCTCTTCCATCTTTCCCTTTTTTTTCTGTGCCAGAATTTTTTGCTTATGAGTGTTGATATGTTAGTTAAGTTTTCTGCTGTAGTTTTGAGCAAGTAATTTCAAATATTCAGTAACAGCCTTGAAGAATGCTTTTGTTGGAGCACCAGTTCCATGCAATAAGTAATCATTATAACAAGCATGAAATTATAGCATGTCATGCACAGTTGGGGAGCTTGAATCAAATGCAGCAGCTGCAAGAAAATTACTAATTCTTTGCTGCATTGCTGACCGCTTTATTACTTGAACTGAACCCCAACTTGACACCTCAAATGGCCTCCTTGTCAGGAGTTAGGACACGGTGACTTAGCTCCAATTCACCTGTCAAAAACTAGCATACCCTTTCCAGCTTCTCAAAGAATGATCTCCTTTGATCTGCCACTAATTGGGGATCTCATGGAGGGAATAAAACCCTCTTAATACCGGAATCTTATTGTTGCTCTCCCCATCTATATCGGCCTCTAAAGTAGTGCATTCTCACTATCTCCTTCCTATGAAGTTTGGTTAACGGTTAACCAACTTAAAAGTTTTGATCATGTTCATTCAATTATATGAACCAGCTTTATTTGATCATGTTCATTCAGTTATATGAACCAGCTTTATTTGATCGTGTTCATTCAATTATATAAACCAGCTTTATCTGATCTTTGATCAAGCTTGTTCATTCATGAGAATAGTGGTTCATGTACAACTATTACTTGTGCTTGAAGTTAGAACATAAAATTAGTGATTTTGTATTTTCCCTTTACATACTTGATATGTTTCATTGTACATGTGGAGCTTGAGGGTTGAGGCAGTCGATTTAACACTTTATCCTTTATAGGAGCAAGGTGAATCTTCTTATTCTTTGTTCTCATTGGCTTCTTTCTATACATTGCTATTTAGCACAATCACCTGTATATAAGCAGTCAAGCAGTTGATACTTCTGAATTTCTTTGTTGGCCTCTTTTATTAATGGTAAACTAATCTCAATTGTGATAAAATGTTATTCCTTATGGTTTTATCATTATTTTTTATTTTTAAATTGCCTTCTGGAAATGGAATTTGCAATCTTGAGATATTATTGATCCAAGAACACTTGCTGGACTCTACATGCAATTGCTTAGAGGAAGATTACGACATAACACGAATACGAGTGTCTTGAAAGTGACGGATTGATCAATCTTTGCTAGACAACTTTGAGGTAAGGTTACCTATCTTTCTGTTGTCTTTTTCCTGTGAATAATGAATTCCTATGTAATTATTATTATGACAAGCAACTTGAATGAACTGATGTTTATCTTCTTAATACATGTTGCAATGTACTTTTGGTAAGTTTTATTTGATTGCCCGTCATTCTCCAATAATGCTATCATAATGGAGCTATTTTCTTGTACTTTCGTAAGAAATAAAAGCACCTTTATTCATAAAAAACTGTAAATTCCGTGCTTATCATTGTTTTGTCCCACTGTTAAAGGCCATTGCGTAGAAAGCATTTCTGAGACGACTGATCATATAAAAGCACACCATACTTGGACATTGACAGTTTTATTTTGTTAAACTTGTGAATGTTCCTGTGTGTATAGCATATTAATCTCATCTCTCTACGCATGCACACGCGTACACACAGGAAAGAAAAAAAGAATACTCCATAATTGATTGTGTTTCGTATCCTCAAGTCCTATGCTAGCTACTGTAGACCTGCAATCCTGACCCAAATCCGATGACCCGACCCGAATGACTCGACCCATGACCCGAAAATTGACTCGACCCGACCATACCTGACCCGAAAAAGGACTTGACTCGATCCTGACCCGACACCCGAACTGATCCAACCCGAAGTTGACTTGATCCGAAATTGACTTGAAGTGTTTGACACGAATTGACCCGATAACCCAAAATTGACCCGAACAGACCCGATATCCGAAATGTCCTAAACTAAAATTACCTTATAATTGAAACTTAAAATGTCTTGTACCAAAAGTAACTCAAATTGTTCATCTTCAACTATAGCTAAACTCATAAACTGAATGATAGTTTTTACTATAACAATAACAAAATATATACTCCGTAGAAAAATTATTCATTCGAGCTTGATTCACAAATAAAACAACCCGAACATGACCCGACTAGATTTTGACCTGACCCGAACATACTTGACCAGAAATTGACCCGACCCGAAATTGATTCGATACTTGACCCGAAGTTGACCCGAAACCCGAATCGACCCGTCCCGACCCGAATGTTAGCTGACTCAAAATGACCCAACCCGAAAGTGACCCGACTAGACCCGACCCAAATGACCCATTTGCCAGGTCTACTAGCTAGTGTATACCTTGATGATAGTGTTCCTTCCATTTCTAAATAATTGATGTTGTGTTTCAAGCTCTAACTTTGACTAAATATGCTTAAACTGTATCAGTAAAAGTTACACAATTAGTTTGCTAGTTCGTTCATAGTATTCTATTTCTTATTTTTGCCATTATTTTTATTACAAGTAGAGAAATTTGCCATTAAAGTTCAACTTATATAGAAAATACATCCAACTTTTGAAAATAGAGGGAGGATATACGTTCCTTTAATTTCTTGCTTTGCTTATTTAATGCACTCTTTCTTAACTTTTTTTGTGAATTATGTGCAGTTATGATATACCGTAAAATATGTCCAATTGATTATGCATTTGCCATTTTTAAAACATCTTTTTTTTTTTTGAAAGATAAAACATCTTTTGTTAATTGTTGAGTAATTGGCTAATGTCCTGCTGGTTGACTTTTCCAATTGTAAGACTGTCAGATGCTTAGAACGGTGGTCTGCACATCAATATTCGTAGAGTAGATGAAGATCTAGATCTACATATTTAAGCGATTTCCTGGCTATCAGTTATAATGCATTGATATTTAAATTAATACATGGAGTATATATTATAGAGTCGTTAGAGCTGACACCTAATTTGAAATTGAGGTAGAGTATATAAAAAAAGTAACATAGGGCGGGACTCAATAGAGGTTATGTTATTCGCTTATTGCCCTTTCAATTAAAAGGAAGGAATAAGAGTTTTTAACCATGGCAAATAAGTTGATCTCGGGAATTGACAAAATTCTCTTAATACCAAGTCCTAAGGGTAAGTTTAACACTAGTATGGATTTAACTGCTAGCTCGTACTGTATAACAGTTATATTGTAATTTGGGGTACCATTTGTAGAAATTACATTCAAGTTACAAGGGAAACAACAAAACCGTATACCTCCTCAAGAATCTGAATACTACACCACATACAATGTGCTTTTTAAATACGGGATTGTACTGTTTTGTTAATATTGGGGATCATTTAAGAGCTCCTTTATAATTGGACATTGATACATCATTATCACTAGGATACAGTATCATAAAAATGTGAACATTGTGAAGTGGGTGGGTGGATCTTAACGTCCTACTAACCTTTAATAATTAAGTACTTTAGTTTATTTATATAGACCCAGTAGCGTAATAGTTTTTGTAATTACAGCTTAAATAATTATAAAATGAAAATCACGAAGAAGGATTTGTTAAGACTTTTGACAAATTCATGCATTTTCTTCATAATCCCTGATTTGTGTGCGATGTCAGACAATGACAATTATGATTAGTACTCCCTATGATCTTATATACTATTTATATACGTATTAGATGACTGTTTGAAGTCTTTCTTTTATATATAATAACATAGCTGGAACTCGAAAAATAAAAATACAATGTACGTAGGAAATTGCATATTTTTACCTGTTTATCATATGCATATTCATATGCTACTTAAATATGTCCCTAGTTAAACACACGTATCTGTATAAAGATAAACAAATCTCACAAGCTCTTTCTTTAAAATAAACAGAAACTTCTTATTTGTTGCTGCCTGCATTTATCCAGAAGTGTGATTTATTTTTCAATTGTTGAATACGTTTCTACTTTTCTGTACTGTCTGTTAACATGGCCGAACAAGACTACCAGAGTGACAAAGATAAGGTGGCACCACTGTCTGCAGAAGAGGGGATCAAGGGGAGTCAGATTCCTGACATAGACGAACAAGATGATGGGAGTGACTCAAAGAAGAAGGCACCACTATCTGTGGAAGAGGTGATCGAGGGAAGTCTTGGACGGATGAATTGCAGTCAGATGGTGCAAGCCTTCCTTGCATCAGTTCTTCCAATGTTTGACAACCAACAGACATTTATCAGTGTCTTCACAGATGCTCAATCAAAATGGCATTGCATCAGTGATATTCGAATAGGTAGTAGTTGCACCAGCAGCTCTAACATCTGTAATCTTTCGAAGAGTGAGTGGGCTTGGACTGGGAATAAGCATAACACAATCATATCACACTGGGATCTCCAATGTGCCAGCTCTTTCATTAAGGGTTTGCCTGCAACTTCCTTCTTCATGGGTTGCTTGTTGGGTGGATATGTTCTTGCCTCCCTTGGTGATTCATCGCTTGGGCGAAAGAACCTTCTCTGTCTCTCTTGCTTGGTTATGTCACTAGCTTCATTTGCCTCAGCCTTTTCTCCTAACATCTGGGTTTACTCTGTACTCCGCTTCATTGCTGGTGTTGGTCGTGTCTCCATTACCATTTCTTCTTTTTGTCCTTCTGTCGGAGAGGGTTGGCAAGCGGTGGAGAGGACAAATTGTAATGATTGGTTTCCTCTCCTTAACAATGGGATTGTTATCCTTGTCGGCTTTAGCTTACCTGACTCGAAATTCCTCATGGAGCACCCTTTATCTATGTACTTCCATTCCTGGATTTGTGTGCTCCATATTGATTCATTTCTTCCTTTGTGAATCTCCTAGGTGGCTCTTCATGATGGGACGTCCAATGGAAGCCGTAAATGTGCTGAAAAGTATTGGCTCCCTGGATGATCATATCAGCTCTATGTTACCAAACATTCTAGAATTCAATCAAGGTATTCCTAGCAATAACGGGAAAAATCCTTTTTCTTCAATGAAGATTTTAGTCAAGAGAAAATGGGCTATTCGAAGGTTGATAGTAACTATGGTACTTAGTTTCGGTGTTGGAATGATGTATTTTGGTATGTTGTTGGGTGTCGGAGGCTTGGGTCTCAACATCTACTTGAGCTCAACATTCAATGCCCTACTATTCCTTTCATCATGCCTGCTAACATTCCTCTTCTGGATCCCAAGATGCAACAGGAGGAGTTCAGTGCTAGGATTCTGTACGATTAGTGGCGCTGCCGGTATAATACCCATCACATTCGGCCACCATCACAAAGGTATACATGTGGGATTGGAACTGATAGCTCTGTTTTGTGCTTGTATGGTGTTTAATATCTTGTTCATGTATGTGGTGGAGCTGTTTCCAACATGCATCAGGAACACAGCAGCCTCACTGTCGCGGCAAGCACTGCTCTTGGCGTCTGTATTTGTCCCGGTGTTGGTAGTCATAGGGAGGAGTAATCAACTCTTCTCTCATGCAGTCTTTGGTGTGACCATTCTTCTTTGCGGCCTTTTGGTCATTTCTTTGCCCGAAACAAAGGGTAAGGTGCTATGTGATGGCATGGAAGAGCAGGAAGCCCAAGACAAGGATGCTGCTTGCGTGCCAAAGTTATGATTGTGAACTTAAGCTAGAAAAATGATCATGAACAAATTTGCTTGTTGGTAGTTCGTCGCCCTCCTAGCTACCACAAGTTCTCCAATGGTCTTAATAATTTGGGGTGAAAAGTTCATGTAAGATTTCATCCAAGACTTGGCAAAGCTAATTTAATTATGTGCCCGATGTGTATTAATAATATGAGATGATGTGCGTGGTCATTTATTTGGTGAATTGAATCTTGTTAATTGTCTTTGTTGTTGACTTGAAATCACTTCACAAGTATCACAACTGATATTTGATGTATTGAGAGCTCAATTTATTTACTCTGGTTGATCGTGTTCATTGATGCTCATCTTTCTCATTGTCAACGTCTCTCATAGCCTCATAGGGCTCCAAATTGTGCAATCTAGTTATCATTTGAGTCTTCCGTTCTTGGGTGTGACATGCAATTGTTCGTGATATTGTTTTTTTGTTTTGAAATGTTGATAGGATGAATGTTAGTTGATATTTGTTCGCCATTTGAGCTTCTATAATCATTTAAATTACCAAAACTTTTCCAACTGCATCCTTTGAAAAGGAAAGATGTCTACCATTATCATTTACAATCATTGAAAAATGGAAATAATCAATAAAATAAATCTAATTTAATCTAATATATATAAATAAAGTAGGTATTTTTTAAGAGCATTGGGCGCGCCATATAAGCAAAGGTATATTTTCGACCAATTAAAAATTAGATTTCTATTTTATTTTGGAATTAAAAAATTCGTTTGCCACCTAAAGAAAATTGACGAATGAGATTTAAGAAGTTTGCCACATAAGTAAAAACAACGAATATTGATTTATTAGGATTTAATGTATTTAAAAAACTAAAAATTATCTTATAAAATAATCATCTTTAGATATAGGATTTATATACCTACTATTATAAGATAAATTTTTATTTGTGATTATTGCTTAAATTGTATTTATTTGGGATACTTAATAATTATATGTTTATGTTTTGTTCACTGAATTTTGTTTTACATGCAGATCTAATTTAATCAGAGAATTATATTCGAGCAAAAATCTTTAGAATATCAAAGTACGAGTTTCTCGCCTGATGATCCTATTGGATGAGGAGGTATTATATCTTTATAAATCGTTTACATTTATTAAATCTTTTAATGAACCATTTAGTTTTTATCAATTAATTTTATGATTAAAACAAATGTTGTGATTTAGGTAGCTTAATTAAGTCATAAAATTAACTTAAATTTTTATTTTTAATTATAGGGTGATTACGTTCATACCTCAATTAAAATCAACTTTGTTCTACAATTTTGTTCAAAATTGATTGAAGAAAAAGTTTACTCCATTAGATACTTTTCAGTCGTTACAAATAAGAAGCAATATCGCACGCATTGTCAGTGACAACAAAATAATGATTTAAATTTCCAAAATACTATTGTTTGGGCGATTGGGGACGATGAAAAAATTCCAATGCATAGATTTAATTTTGTATAATTATAATTTTTAGATTAATTTCACAACAATTATTCACTTTCTGGTAAATATTTTAATTTATTTTTTAAGACTATAAAGATTAATTTTATATAAATTTTATTTTTGCTAATATGTTCTATTTATCCACTTTTATTAGATGGAAGAGATATGGGTGTGAACAAAGTTGGTGATCCTATCGAAATTTTTTTTAAATACAAATTTTTTTACATCGAAATATTACATCTATTAACTATTATTTTTTATGTTCTTATCAAAATATTTATTAGAGGAATAAATTACATAAAATTATCCTTAACAAACAATAGCAAAGTTATCAAAAATATTATGAGTATGATCTAATTACAAAATTATTTTTATGAGATTTTATGTATAAGAAACCATGGGATATTCGGATTTAACAATTTATGATTGAGCTTAGGTATCTTATGAAATTAATGGTTTTATCTAAATACCCGATTAATAAGATGTTTTTTTCATAAAAAAATTTAAAACTTATAACGCAATAAAAAACTTTACCTTCTTTAAACATTTTATGTATAAAAATTTGAAAAGACAGATAATTTGTTAGAGATCAAGAGTTCACAAGAAATATACAAAATGATATACAGATTTGAGAGTTTAATTTCAAGTGTAAAAATCAACGAATAATGATTTAGGATTTAAATTATTGTCGTATAACTAACAACAACGAATAAAATACAAAACAACAATATATTAGTCGCATTATAAATTAATTAATTAAAAATTATAATTTTTTGTAATTGGCAATATCATTTTAATTAAATTTTTTTTTTTCTGAAATTATTAAATTGTAAAATAAATCAAATAATTATAAAAAAAAAACTTAAAGTATATAGGAAAATATCTTTCTTGAGATATATGTATGAAAATTCGTGCATCGCACAGTATTATTTCGACCAATTAAAAGTTTGATTTGTATTTTATTTTAGAATTAAGTTCACTTGCCACGTAAGCAAAAGTGACGAATGAAATTTAAAAAAATTTCCACGTAGGTAAAAACGACGAATAATGATTTATTAAGATTTAAAATTATATTAAAACTAAAAATTATCTTTTAAAAAGATGATCTTTTGATATTAGGATTTAAATTTAAAAAAAAAACTATAAATTACACAATTATTATATACAAACACTTTAAATTAATTATTTGAAAAAGGAAAATATATGTTCATTTTGTTTTTAAGAAAACGTTCAATCATTTTTTTTTTTAAAAAAAAACATTTAAAAGAAATATAAATTATTAATAATTAACTGATATTCTTTAATTTTTTTAAAGAAAAATCAATGTTCTTCAAAAAAATAAATAACAATAACGTTCAGTCTTTATCAATATTCTTCAAAAAAAAAAACAATAATGTTCAATTTTTATCTTATCTAGCAACCTATTTCATAATTAGATAAAA